CTTGAAAGGTAATGAATAATCCTTTGTACAAGCATTTATTTTAGATGCGTTAGTTTAAATTTTACAAATTTATTTAACACAAAATTATTGTAAAATAAAAGAAATGATGGATTGCATGCATGGGGTGGATGGTATGGATACAATTAAACTATTTTGGACCAACGAATTTAATGTTGTAAGTCCATAATTAGTACAGGACCTCAACTTCCACCAATGCCAAAGCAACACCGATTTTGTTTGACGAGATAAACCATCCATGAGATTATCGTCATCGCTCCTTCTCCCGCATAGTATATTCTCGAGATGCCCCTCTACAATTAAGTATTTTTCCCTATCGATAATTTTTATTTAAATATTTTTTTCAAATTGGAGTCGATGAGCCAACTCCGGGTGGGTCCCTTCTTCAAGAGTTCTATTAGCCTCCCACTTAATTTTAAAAATATATTACTTTGAAGACTTATTCATAGTCTAGATAATAAAGAGTATCAAAACACGCTCTATTTAATTGTCATTTAATAGATATTTTTAGACTGCTTGGAAAACACATCTCAATTATAAGTGACAACTTAGTAATTTTGGCTTGTTGAGGATTACTTTGCGAAAAAACTTTATTAAAAAGGAACATTTTGAAAATTTACTCAAAATATTTTGTCATATTTGATGAAAAGGACTATTTGTGGAATACTTTTCAAAAAATGAAGTCAATTTATAGAAAATTATATAACTGGAGACTAAATATTATGAAAAACTACGTATAATAAGAGACCATTTATGAAACTTACTCGATACTTTAATTATTTAGATAATATGGAGTAATTTAAAAGTACTTGCAATCATTAAAAAAAGAGAACTACACTATATGTTTACTAAAATATACTTTTATGACCTTTTAAAATAGTGCAAAGCTAAAAATAATTAGTACTCCCTTTCTTTATGATTATTTGTTTATTTTTGACTTTTTTGATCAAAATTGATTTGTTTTGTCCTTAAATTATTTAAAAATGATATTAATCGGTGATACAAAATAGTTATATTGGATTTCTTATATAAAATATTTTTAAAATATTATCTTATCTAACTAATATACTATGTATATATATTCTCTAATCATAAGTCAAAGGTGAGAATAGTTGATCAAAAAAATCAAAATTAAACAACATACTTAGGGAGTGAGGTTGTACAATCTTATTTATTTTTCATCCTATGAAAAGTATTAATAACATATTGATGGGTTTAAGAACCCGGGCATAGTGTAAAATGGGTAAAGAGAGTAGTTTGAACGAGCAGAGTACGTGTTCTTGGATTGCAAAAGTGTAGTTCGAGTATAGTACTGCTTAACAAGATTAATATAGTGATTATGATGTCATTCCCTGAAGTGAAGGGGAGGTATTTATACGAGTTATATGTTCTCATCAATTTGTTATCTAGTTGTTGTCCACGAGAAGACCCATTTTAGGTTCATGCGGGAGACCCATGGGGTATGAGACCCATGAAGTATGTACTAAGCTAGTACATACTCATAAATTATGTATATATACATTGAACAAGTGCATTATACTCGTAACTGCAATCCCCATTACTTTGATGTTGAACATGCAATGTGTTTACTTAACGGTTAAACATAGCTGAAAACTGTGTAAATTCTCTAAACACCAAATGAAGGAAAAGAAATTAATGTTTTTTTATACATACTCATAAATTATCTATACATTGTACGGGTGCATTACACACAAGAGATGTTCTGATCTTGAGTGGACCCATAGATTTAGACAAGGCACGAGGAATCCAACGTCTCTTCTCGTGATCTCACGTTTAACATAACCAATTTCCGATATTCGAGTGTGCCATTTGGCTAGAGACCGAGTACGATACACGCATTCTTATCGCGTAGCGCAAGGAGATAACAGGTCTGAGTTCATATATGTATGTAGGCAGAGGCCGAGTGTGACCCAATAAATGGAAGACTAGCTTTGGCCTACCCGTACTCTACAGAGCGTGTTTCTTCAAAGCTCAATGAGCTTACATGTTGGGCTGCCAATTTGATTGGGCCAAATATCACAGCTTAGGGTATCCATCACATATACCTAAAATATTATAGAGTATTTTCATCTTTAAAATATCAATTACTCCCTCTGTTTTAAAATGTTCTTTCCATTTTTGTTTACGAAATTTGACTAGTTTTTTTAGTTCAACTTATATGATTGTAGGTGTAAAATTTAAAGTGAAATTTGCACTAAATAGGACTAAAACATAATGACTTTCCTAATATAGGACTTAAACTTTTTTATTCTCTAAATAGGACTTAATAATGACCTAGTGGGAGGAATAATGTCCGGTAATGATGGACATTTACTTGAATAATGACTACTTCATAATGACCAAAGGTCCTACATTGGGAAATAAAAACATATGGTCTTATATTGAAAAAGTCATTATGTGTTAGTCCTATTTAGGTAAATTTCTCAAATTTAAAAAATAAAATTTATATATTTAAAAACTAAATCAAAAGATTTACAAAACATAAGGTGACAACATTAAATTATTTTATCAAATAACTAAAAAAATAGGTAAAGAAAGTGATTAAAGTTTGACTGTGTGAATTTTAATTGAGAAGATCATTTTAGAATGGAAGGAGTATAATAAGATATAAAATGAGTTGTCTTTTTTTTTTTCCTTCGACGTTAAGGATATACTTGAAAACTCAAATTACAAAAGTAAATATGGCAACAGTCAAAATAGCAGTTGTTTTACCAAAGAGAGGATGTATATAAGAACACATCATCTAGTTTTTTTTTGGAAACATGAGTGTTTGTTAGACATTCACTTTTAATTCCGTATTTAATAAAAAAAAATACCTGATAATGAAATATTATACTCCCTCCGTTCTCAAAAACACTTCCTCTTTCATTTTTTCCACTTCCAACAAAACACTTCCCTTTTCTATTAAAAAACCACTTTTACCCTTACTTTTTCATACCCTACCTATCACATCATACTTTTTCTCTAATAATCTATCCATCACATCTTACTTTTACTCATCACATCAGGGGCAAAATTGGAAATCAACTACTCCCTCCGTTCCACAAAACTCTTTCTCTTTCGTTTTTTTTGCTTTCCACAAAACACTTCCACTTTCTATTAAAATACCACTTTTATCCCTACTTTTCCATACCCTACCTATCACATCATACTTTTTCACTAATAACCAAACTATCATATCTTACTTTTTCTCATCACATCAAGGGCAAAATTGAAAAGTCAACTAAAATTACACTTTCCTTATTTTTCTCCAAAGTCAAAACCGGAAGGGTTTTGTGGAACGGATGTAGTATAATTTAACACTTTCTTATTTTTGCCCCAAATCCAAATGGGAAGTGTTTTTCCAAACGGAGGGAGTATATTATTCCATCCATTTTTAAAACTTCTTCCCGCTCCTTTCTTTTTTACTTGTCCTACTAAATCTTTCTCATTCTATTGAAAAAATCACTTTTAACCCTATCAATTGTTAAAGTACCTATCATATCAAATACTATTTTTACGTATTACATCAATGATATTTTTAGAAAGTCAACACAAAAATATCATCACTCTTTAAATTTTTTAAAAGTCAAAATGAAAACATTTTTTAAGACAAAGGAAGTATTACTTAATTAAAATTGGAGAAATTTACTTAAATATTACTCCGTAATCCCTTAGTCCTAGTGGAGGTTGTGCGTGTGTGAAGAACATTGATATACATATACTAGTAGTAGTATAAGTTAGCTGCTCCGCCCCCACAACCCACAAGTGCATTTCATCTTCTTCTTAAGCTAAAGCCTCAGCGTTGGATTAAACGTGCGTACGCAACTCTCCCCGCCCATTTCTTCTTTCTTTCACAATGATTGAGCTGAGTAACATGCATCCCCACCAGCAACCACCAAACACGGCGGCGGGTGGCCGCATGATCCACAGGTACGAGCGGCGGCAGCAATTCAACTTGGGATTGATCCGGCAGTTCTGCGGAGCCCTCTTCACCTCAATCGTCATCTTCACCCTCATTGGCCTCATTGCCTGGGCGGTTCTCCAGCCCCTCCCGCCCAGCTTCGTCCTCGAACACACTACCCTCTCCTCCTACAACCTCTCCATCCCCGACCTGATTTTCTCCCCCACCCTCCAGGTTAGTCATATATATATATATATATATATATATATATATATATATATATATATATATATATATATATATATATATATATATATATATATATATATATATATATATATATATATATATATATATATATATATATATATATATATATATATATATATATATATATATATAT